AACAACGAACGTGCGCGGCGATGGGCGTGCTTTTGACGCACGCATGCCAAAGGCAACGTCACGCGGGGGCCGCGGCCGTGCTGCGCGCATTGGCAGCGCGCGGTTGGTGGTCGGCGCGCGTGGTGTCCCAGGGGTGCAATTTGACCGCCGATGGCGGGGGTGTCATTGCTCCGCTTGCGAGGGCCCCGCCAAATTGGCAGCCGTGACATTGCTACCAGAACGCAAGACGTGGGCTGCAATGCGCGTTCGCCCCCCCCCCCCCCCCCAGAGATCAACGTGCAACGGCGGTGCGTGATGATCGCGCCTTCGTTGCCTAAAGGGGCGGCGGGATTGGTGAGGCCGCCGTGCTTTTGCTGCGCGCAAATCGCTAGAGCGCGGGTGCCCGCCCTGCCATTATCGCACAAACGGTTGGGACCAACGGCTGGCGATGTCCGCGGTCTGGCAGCACCAGAGCGAAACGTGCGAATCCTGGCGATGGTTGTCGCCCGACTCGGCGAAGTCGCCGCGGCTAGTGGCGAGCCGTTCGCCTGACTAAACGCCAGCGCCCTGCCCCTGCGCGCAACAGGCTCGCAAGGTTCCCGCGCCCGCCCGCCCCTTATTTGCCGAACGAAAATTTGGCGACCTCGTAGGGCCCGCTGCTTGCGCAAGGAGCCCATCAAAAGTGCAGGGGTTGTCGGAGGGGTCTAACGCGTGTCCTGGCACGGCGCGCGATGGCAACCAAAGCGGGCCGTGCCGAAGTTTTTGGGCAACCTCAGGCCATCGTCGCGGGCCCCTAGCGGGGGGGGTGCAACGCAAACGTGGCATTGTTTGGTGCATCGCGCTTCAAGGCGCGCGCGCGGCGGTGCCACCTGCGACGCGCTAGGTTTTGATGGGGGCAAAACAAAGTAGCTCGCGCCAGCAGCTGCCTTTGTTCTGATAAGATCAACTGTAATCTTTTCGTGGGTAGACTTTCATATTTTTTCAATCTTTTTTTAATCTTTTCAGACACCGTCTGGGGTAATCTTTTGCTTAGCCCGAGGCCTATCTTGATAGAGATCTCTCATCGGATAGACTGTGGCAGGCTACCCGCGTCACAAGATCAGGCTCCGTTATAATCGGGCCCCTTCGGGGCTCAGCGGCAGCGATGAGGGGGGCAGAAAGTTCGCGAAGGAGTATGATGCGGCACAAGTGCGTCACCCATTTGTTGCTTCGTGGAGCGGCGACGCCTGGGCCTGGGCCCGCCGCTCGAGAGGCCGCTCTTGCGCGCCTTCCCCCGGAGCCCTTCCGGCTCGAGGAGGGGGGCGGCGCTCCGGCGGGAGCGGGCGCATGTCCGGCGGCCGGCGGCGCCCTGGCTCGCGGCGGGGGCCGCGCCGCATGCCCCCGCGGGGCCGGGCGCCCAGGCGCGGGCGCTGACGCGGGCCCCGGCGTCGCGACAGGCCGCGGCCAGCACCGCGCGCGTCGCCTCGGACAGCAGGGGCCCGCGGAGGACGCGCGCGCTGAGTCGGGGGGCGCGCGGCGGGCTGGACCGCCGGGCGAGCGCGCGCACAGCGCAGCGGCCGGGAGGTCTCGAGCAGGCCGCCTCGACAGAGTGGGGCCAGGCAGCTGCGACCCTGCTCGCCGGCGCCAAGGCCGCGGCCGCGACCGCCGCTGCCGCCGAGGACGACGGCGAGAGCTGTCGGGAGGGCGAGCGCTGCCGGGCCGCGGGCCCACTCGCGCCGACTCCCGCCACGCCGCGGCGCGGGCCCGGCGCGCGGCCAAGGAGGGCCCGCCGCCGGGCCAGACGCTCCCTGAGGCCCACAGCGCGAAGGCGGCGACCAGGGCGCTCTATCAGATGCACGTAAACGACGAGCTGGTCGGCAACGCGGACCAGCGCGCCGCGCCGCTCGTCGAAGATGCCGAGGTCGACGTCTGCATCGCGAAGTGAACGAACGCGGAGTTCAGCGCGGGCTGCCGCGCCTGGCGTAGCGAGAGCATGCTGGCCGCGGTCATGTTCATGTTCCCGGGCTTCAGCTGGCTGTTCGGTGCCTTCTCGGGTGGCGCCTGTCGAGTCCGCCGATGAACCGCGCGCCTCTCCCGTGGCCCGCGCGGGTGGCGCTGGCCATGCAACTGGTTCGACGCGGCCGCGGGCTGGCGGCGATCGCGGTGCTCGTGATGGTGGAAGCGTGCCTTCGCCCTTCAGAGTTGTTGCCGCTGAGACGCCGCTCGTCGCTGCCTCCTGCTCGAGGCGGGCTGACCAGGCGGGGCCTCCCGCTGCCCCCAAGCAGCGCCAGCGCGACGCGGGGCAAAACGGGCGAGGCCGACGGCGCCGTGGCGATGGACTCGCCGCGGGCGGCCTGGCTGCCCCACATATTTAGTCATCTCAGCAGGGGGCCAAAGGAATAGCGCCTGTTTCCCTGGGAGTACAGCCAGTTCTACCAGATGTTCGTGCAGGCCGCAGCTGCCCTGGCTTTCAAGACGGTTCCTTATCAGGGCCGACGCAGTGGCATCTCGATAGATGGGGCTCATCGCGAGCGAAGCCTGGGCGAGTGCATGAAGCGGGGTCGCTGGAAGGCGGCCAAGGGCGCGGCCAGGTGCGAGATGGCGGGGCGGCTAAACGACGCGTGGAGGGAGCTGGCGGCCGCCCAGCAGGCGCGCGCCCTCGACTGCGAGCACCATCTCGAGGAGTGCCACGCGAGCGGGCGCCGCCAACCGGCACCAGCGACGCGGCCGCGACGCCCTTCTTCGCCGAGCTGTTCAGCGGCACCGGGCGAGCGGCAGCGGCTGCGAGGCGCGCCGGCTACATCTCGCGGGAGTGGGACGTGACGGGCGGACCCGCTGGTGACCTTCGGCCGCGCGCGGGGGCAGGGCTGCGCAGATGCGAGCGACGGGGCCATGTCTTAGTCATCATGATGGCTCCGCCGCGCACTGCTTACTACAGTGCAAAACGTTAATGTGTCCTCAAGGAGTAGACAGTTCCCCGGGGGCCTGATCGGATTGCCAGAGATCCTATGTGAGAAAGTTAAGCTCGGAAGCGCTTGTTTAGATTTCTGCATTCGACATTCGAACAGATCGGATACGTCTGCAGCTGCGCATCCTGTCTTGCCCAGGGCATTCCCGCAGCAGTTGCACGTGGCACGATTCAGTCCTGGTTTTGCTTTTAGAGCGCACCGGCTGCAGAACAGCGGTCACCATTGTGCCTTCGAAGCGCCCCGCCGCAAGGTTACCACATTAGCCTTCGGAGACTCCGACATCGACTTGGGAGTCTTGGGTGGCCTTGGGGCTGTTGCCTGCGCAGGTCGACGCGGCTGCTGCTCCATCCCAGGTAACAAACATGTCATCTTAGAAGGTTGGAGTGCGAGCGAAGCTACGGCATGGCCTCCGAAGCAGGCCCGCTGTCTCGTTCGCGCGCTGCTGTCGCCAACTTGGAACGAACGGCGTTCGATCTAATTCGCTCTCGCCTTTGGTAGCGGTGAGCCTGCCTCTCGGCAGCCCGCTCCCCGCGACTGTGAACTTCGGCTTGGGACCTAAAGGTTTTGAGTATGCGGTGCGGACTTCTGCAATTCGATGTTTGACCGCGAGCGGCCCCGCAGTTGAGCGCGCTCATCTTTCCTGATTCAGCGACGGTTCCCAAGGCCCGTCTCGCAACGTTTTTGTATTCTCCGCCAAGAGGCAACAATAGCATGTGTCTGGGGACCACGCGAATGCTCTTCCAGCCTCGGCCTGTCGTGTCTAAACACAGCACATTTCGAGCAGAAGCGCCCACGGTCTGACGCCTTTGTCTCTGCCGTAAGCGCCGCTACCGTTAATCTCAAGCCCCCGGCCACGCCACCCTGTTCTTGAGGATGGTGTATGGTACTGACTTCGAATTTTGACCGCGAGTGGCCCCATAGTTGAGCGCGCTCATATTTCCGATTCTGTGGCGATTCCAGGGCCCGTCTCGCAACATAATGTTGTTCTCCGCCAAGAGGGGAAAAGAGCAAATCATTGACGTCCCTTCGATGTTTGAAAGATGCTGACCTCTTGGAGGGAATTTCGAGAGCACTTGAAACCGTCTAGTGTCCTTCGTCGGGCCTCTTGGAGTTATTTCGGAAGCTATTTTGACCCATCGTCGGCTATCTTGAGCCATCTTGGAGACCTTCTTGGAGCACCGGAGGCCCTCTTGGAGCCATCTCGGGCCATCTTGGACGCCCTAACGCCCCGCGGCCACTCCGCACCACCTCAGGGAGGGATCGAGGTAAACCTCCAGGAAGTGAAGAGGCATTTGGAAGAGGACAGTAAGAATTCGCTGGACGACCTTCGCCCAGAGCGCTGGTAGGATTTGCGATGCGATGTCTTCGCAGAAGCTCATTTGATGTGAGATTGCGTTGCGATGCTTGCATGGCTGCCTCGGCGAACGAACAACATTCAGTAGGTTTCTTTGTCTTTTGGTGTCCTCGGGCGACCGGCCTGTTCTTCGACGCACAGGCCTCTTTCGGTCAAGTGGGCTGGCGTTCGCTACGATTTGTCTTGTTCTACATCCAGGCCAATGAGCTAGGCTCCATCCTCCAGGGTCGCAAGAGGAGGAGGAGGAGGAGGAGGAGGAGGAGGAGGAGGAGGAGGGGGAGGAGGATGAGGAGGAGGAGGAGCAGGAGGAGGAGGAGGAGGAGGAGGAGGAGGAGGAGGAGGAGGAGGAGGAGGAGGAGGAGGAGGAGGAGGAGGGGAGTGGCAGTAAGGGCGAGGAGAAATCGCAAGACGAGGAGGGCATGGTGCGAGTACGTCTGGTGTCCGCCAAACGCTGTGCGGAGCCACGACCTCTGACAGCAGTATGGCAGCCTGCACATCGCCTGCTGCCGCGTCCCTGCGACATGGCGATGCCTTGACGCCACGCGTTCTCGAAGGCGAGCGCGCGCAGAGTGCCTCCGACCTTGCGATCTGGTTCGATGGTGGCACGCTGAGGCGGGCACTCCGCATGCTCGCACACGAGAGCCGCTCAACGAGAGTCGTTTGGCATTGGTCGCTCCTTCTGCGCTGGTCCTTCGGCCTCCCCCGCCGCTCGCGCTCAGGTGCCCCGGTCCTGCCCGCGGGTGCTGGTCAACAGGGAGGCCGCGGGGCTCTCGGGCGACGTGCCGGGCGGCTTCCGCTTCGGGCGCGAGGGCGCGAGGGACGTGTTCCTCCAGGAGCGGGGGGCTTCCTGCTCCTCGAGCGCAGTTTGGCGGCGCGCACAGGGGGGTATGGGGAGGGGGGAAGGCCTCTTAGAAGCGCCCCTGCTTCTTAGCAGGCGCGGGCCTCGTCTGCAAATGTAGGGCCGGCGCCTTCTTCGAAGCAGCCTCCTTCTAAGAAGCCTTCTACAAACTGCGCTCCAGGAGCGGGGGGAGCCAGGGGGGCCCAGGAGCACTGCGTGGACGGCCGTCCGAGAAGAGGGGAGGGGCCTCCATTGGGGGGGGGATCTGCCCTCCGGAGACGGTGCCCCCCCCCGCACCTGCCGTCGGGAGGCGTGGTGTGGGGGGGGGCCTCTCTGGAAGGAGGCACCCTTAGCCACGAGCCCTGCCCTCGTTCTCCTGTCTCGGGTCGGGCGAAAGGGGGGGATTGGGAAAGGGGGGGTTACGAAATTTGCTGCATGCAGCTGGTTTCGGCCTCACCGAGGGGCCCATTCCTCGATGCATAGCCGCCTCCGGCGCCGGGAGGCGCCGGGAAAATCAGCTACGTGAGCTGATTCTCAAACCCCCCCTTTGCTATCCCCCCCTTTCGCCCGACCCGACTGTCGCCAGGGGCGGGAGGGCCTGGGGCTGGTCGGGGGGGGACGCTGGTGGGAGGGAGGGCGGCGGGTGGCTCCAGAGCAGCGGGGCCCCGCGGCTCGCCCCTGCACGTTCCCCCCGTTCCTCCCTTCTCTCCCGTGCGTCTTCCGCTCCTCCCGCACCTGCCCGCCCCGCACCCCCCCTCGCGACCTCGGGTGCCCCTCCCGGGTGCGTCCCTCGGCCACCCCACCCCTTGGATGCACCCCCTCCCCCCTCGGGCGCCTCCCCCTCGGGTGCCTCCCATCGGGTGCCTCCCATCGGGTGCCCCCTCCCATCGGGTGCCCCCCTCGGGGGCCTCCCAACACAGCCCGTTCTGTCGAGGGATACTGGACACACCACGCCCGGAGATCCAGGGCCGGAGTCGGCCGGATCACGCAGCAGGCGGCTCACTGCGCTGACAGTCCGCGTTCCGCCGCGGCCGAGAAAAGTGGCCTACGGTCCACGCGCACAGTGAGGACAAACGATTTTTGTCAAGGGTGCCCTTGGGTCCTTGCCTGCCTCAGCCTCTGCGGCCCGTCCCTGGCAGTTTTCGCAGGCCAGCTTCTCAGGCTCCCTGGGGGTTTGGCCGCCCGCCGCCCAGAATACTCTTCAGCTTCGGCCTCCAAGGGTCGTGCGTCCTTACCACGGGTCCTCACTCTACGTTTTCACTGTACACCTCAGGCGATGCTTAAGAAAACTTAAGTTTTCGGCCAGAGTCTCGATTATTCTTAACGTTTCAATGTAAATCCCAAGATTTTGATAGAAATCTTGGGTTTTTGTTCAAGTTCTGAGACTATGAATTTCTGAGCCCATGATTTCTTAAGCATTTCGCAGGGTGTACTGTAATTTCTCGTCGATTTTCGGTTCGGGCATGGTCTTCCCTTACCCCGCTGGCTCTCTCTCAGTCTTGTACTGCTGCTCGTTGCTTTGCCTCCCGCACACACACACACCATACACCCGCGGCGTCGCTGATGGCGACTCGTGCGCGCGCTGCGGCCACGCGCGAAGGCAGCAGTCAGTAGTCGAATCGACGACCACAAAAGGCACCGATGACGGATGGCGCCGGCTCAAGCAGAAAAATACGCCAGCCGGTGATGGCCAAGAGGAAGGGGATTTCTTCTCCTCCTTCTCCCCCCTCATCCTCCTCCTACTCCTCCCGTTTTCCTCCTTGGGCGCTGTGCATTCAGCACTCTTCTCATCGCCTGATTTAGCCGCTTCGGTTCAAGTCGCTCCTCCGTGCACTCACGCGTTGGGCCGAGCGGCACTTCCGCATACGCGGAGCCATAATGACCAGATTGTTGACGGATATTTCCCTCACCAGGTCGTGCCCTAATGACGCATTAGCACTCGGACTCTTCAACAGTTCTTGTTGCCATGATCTCCTATGCCCATTGGCGGCCGTTTTGTTCAGATTATCCACAGGCGCCTCGGCAGGAAGAAGACCTCAGGTACGGTGTATCCAGAAGAGTCGTGCTGGACAGGCGATTGCAGAAACATTTGGGCTTCGAGAGCGATTTGCGCTGTGTCTGCCTTTTTTGGGGGCGTCGGTTGGGTTTCGACAAACGCCGCCCCCGTTCCTCACACAATGCGGGACCGTCAGCATCAGCATCATCAGTATCCTCATCATCATCCTCCTCATCATCAGGCTCAAGTAGCCAAGATGGTTCTCTTCATTGCCTTAAAGGGATAGGCTCCCATCCCAGCCCAGAGCGCTTCCATTCACGCAGCTACACTCAGGGGCGAGCTGCCGCCCAACAGCTTTCCATATCTTCCATATCCTGGCGTGCTGTCTCTTCCGCGGCGCTGGGATCTCTGCCGAGCGGTTGCGAGTGGATCGGCCAGTCCCTCTACTGTGGCCACGACAGTGTTCTTCGCTATGGCTTCAAGCGGCAGCTCGAGGTCCTTTTCTAGTCCCGCGCGGGATCGTCGCAGGCAGCGACGCCGCGAGGGTGAAGCCAGTGGTTCCCGAAGTGATCGTGGTCAACGCCGACAGCGCAGGACGAATCGCGACGACAGACAGTTCACGCCAGTGGACCGCCGTGCGGGCACGTCTGGAGGACCTGCTTCACAGCGTCGCGAACGACCTCCAGGGCACCCAACAGCACGTGACGCTGAGCTCTTCCGCGCGTGGGAGGACTGCCCATATTCCCTGACGAGGAGCGACGAGCTGGTGTGGACCCGCTACAACAAACTGACCCGTGGCAGAAGCTCGAGCGGTCGACGCCGCCACTCCCTCGTGAACCTGACCGTCAGAGGCTTCATGCACCAGGCCCCGCCGACATGGAGGAACGCCTCTCTGCCGTCTTCTCAGACCACATGCTCAAAGCTACTGAACGTATTGAGCAAGAAACTACCGCCATCATGCGGTCCGCGACCACCGCGCTCCAGAGTCAGTCCCAGCTGGTCATATCGCAGGTTCAACAGCAGGGAGGCCGCATCGACGCTTTCGACACCAATCTCCGTGATCTCGGCAACCGCACGCAGATTTTCGAGCAGGAGCAACAGCAGATGCGGTCTGACATTGAACGCATTCAGCCTTCTCTCGCCATGGCGGAGGCCACGCTCCCGCCCCTCGACATGGCTGCTCTCGCTATCTGGGACCGCCCGCCCGACCCTCACCTCTACAGCATTGGGGCGCCTTCGGCTATCGAGCCTGCGGAGGTTCGGCGGTCGCTGGAGCAATGGATCACCGCCGCGGGAGTCTCCCTCAGCGACACCGAGTTCATTGGCGACGTTCCGTCGCGTATGTTCTTCCTTCGTGTTCTGGGAGGGCCCGCTGCGCCAGCGAGGAGTATTTCGTTCGCGCGCAACTTGCGCAATGGTGGGCAGTGGAGAACATTCCCTGCACCGAACACTTCTGGGGCCATCACGCCCCCCTACATCAATGCTGACAAGTCACCCAAGTAACCCAGGCGAGAACTACAATCCAAGCGCCTGGTTCGTTTACTCGCCGAACGGCATCCCCAACATCGCGTCCGTCGCGTTGGCGACGAGGGCGCCATTTCCATCGACGCGGCCCCGCTTGTCGCGCTCGAGATCGGCGCCGCGGCAGCTGACAGCGCGCGGCTGCGGTGGGATGGGCAAGTTCTTCAACGGCTCAACATTGACATGGCTGCGATCGCCGCCGGGTCCCAGCGGCTATTTCGAGCGACGGGCACCTCGCTGCGGTCGATTTAGCCCTCGCTGGACTCCGCGGTGCTTCTCTCCCAGCTCTTCGGGCGCGTAAGTGGTCAGCTGGAATGCGCGTGGCCTGCGCTGTTATCACCCGGGGCGGAGGAGGCGCAAGCTTGCCAAGCTCGAGAAGCACCTGAGGAGGGGTGCCATCGTGCTCATCCAGGAGTGTCATGGAGCCTCGTTGCAACTGGAGGTGCTGGTTGCCAGCGATCCTTTCCCGCACAAGGTCTTCCACTCCCAGGCTGAGGCCACGCGCGAAGGCGGCGTTGCTTTCCTGGTCCCATGGCCGAGGGCCCTTCCAGATGAGGCTCGTCCTGTGGTTCGGCGCCATCCTCTGGTCCCTGGTCGGGTTGCTGCATTGTTTATCGCTCATCCCGTGAATGGCGCCATTTTCAGGATTCTCAATGTCCACAACTACGGCATTTCGGAGTTAGGTCGTCGAGCGGTGGACCACTATTGGCGTGAAGCTGTTATTTGGAATGCGGAGGCTCCCACGCTGCGCACATTCTTTGCCATGGGCGACTTCAACATTCGGGATGGCGACGCGTTCAGCTACGACGAGCCTCTCCCGATGTCGAGCGCGCTCTCCACGTCGCGCACTTACCAACCGCTCGAGACGACCTGGCGCCCGCTCTTCGACTTCGTTCAGGAGATTCGCTCCCCGATCCCCACCCACTTCAGTCGTCAGCACTGCACGGCGTCCGCGATTGTTCGGGCGTTCATCGGCATTCCTGAGCACTTCCTCCCGGGCGCTGACATTCTTGCCACCGTCGACGCTGACCCCATGGAGATGTCGCAGTTTAGGCTGAGCGATCACTCCATGCTCTGCCCCACCGTGCGCACCGTGGCTCCTAATCGCGTCGCGGAGCACCGCATTCCTGATGTGGTCTTCCGCGACGGCAGGTACAAGGAAATTCTAGACGGGCCCCTCGCGGTCGCTGGCCTGGACCCCCCCCCCGCCCCGCAGTGGCTCTACGCGAAGGGCCTCATGATTGAGGCGGCTCGGCAAACGCGCGATGAACTGCAACGGCTTCCATTTCGCCCCCATGATCGCCGCGCGACTGGTGGCCGATCGATCACCATGAAGAGCGTCTCGCGGGCGGTCTGGCGGCAAGACGTCGAGATCGCGGCGCTGCTTATCTCGTCCACATCAGAGGGTGCGAGGTTCCTTCGGCTGGACAGCAGAGCTGCCCGATCGCTTCATCATGATGAATTTCGGCGACGCTTCCGTTCTCTGCGCGCCGCTGAACTGGAGGCTGCTCAACATCGTGCGGTTCAGGCAGCGCAGCAGGCACAGCTCGCTGGAGATGCTCTCGGTGCTGCTGCCCATCTCAAACACCAGAGGGCTGCCCGCCGCCGAGCCCTGCTTTGAAGACCGAAGGGAAGGAGTCTCGTTCTTTCTGGTGTTCGTCCTGAGCACGCGTTGGGCCCTGAGGGGCCCGCTGCAGTGAAGGCTCCTTCTCAGATTCTCGAGTCCCTGAAGCGCCGCTGGGCTGAGGCCTTTCAGGCGAAGCCAGTTCGTAAGATGGATATTCAGCAACATCTTCGGGGACGCGACCCGGCCTTCGACGTGGCCGACATCCCCGTCCCGAGCTTCGAGGACCTCCATGAGACTCTTAAGCGCGTTCGTCACAGTGCCCCTGGCCCCGATAGGCTCCAGGCTTGGATGGTCTCTGTCCAGCCGCTCCGCGTGCTCCACAGCCTCCTGAAACATCTGATGGCAGGTCACTTCGCACCGTGCTCTCTGAATGATTCCATGCTTGCGTTTTTGTCAAGGGCTCTGAGCCGCTGGATGCTTATGAATGCATTCGGCCACCCTCGCAACTCCGCCCCCTGTCACCGCGCTGCACGGATTCTAAGATTCTCGATGCGGCCGCCAAACACAAACTTAAGAAGCTCGTACAGGAGCGCGCGCATGAGGTCCAGCAGGGTTTTGTGCCTCGTCGCAATTTTCTGAATACTCTCACGCGCCTCGACACCGCCGCGAGACGAGCGAGCATCCGCGAGGCGGCTGCTCAGGATTGTCCAGCCTGTGTTGCTTTCGACATTGCAGCCGCATTTTCCTTGCTGGGCCATGACTGGCTCTGGGAAGTGCTTGCGCGGTTTGGTTTACCCGAGGGATCCGCAACCTGACCTCTGCTTTCTATCACGCACCGCGAAGTTTCGCTGCTGTCACTGGCGAGCAGCAGTTCATGTTTTTCTCCTGTCTGGGGTGATACAAGGATGTCCGCTCTCTGGCCCTGTCTGGGCCATTGCCATGGACCCATTGCTGCGCCGTTCAGTGGGGGCGGTCTCGCCGTCGTCGTTGGGTGACTGTCGTGGGGCGGTGGGTGGATGTGCCGACGAAACTGGCTTAGTCCAGCCGCGACTGGCTGATCTGCTTCGAGCGTTTCCAGTGTTGGAAGAGACCGAGCGTGTGGCTCACCTACGCCTCCAGACCAAGAAAACGGTTATTGTGCCGCTTTGGACTGAGATCACGCCTGAGGTGGTTCGTACATTGCGTGCATTCTGAACCCAACATATTCCCTCGTGGGCTGACACACCCATCGCTTCCCACACCAAGTATCTCGGAGTGCAGTTCGGCCCCGGTGCGACAGAGAACGCCATCTGGGCGGGCGCTGCGCGCAAATGGTGGTCTCGAGTTTGCGAGATTCCATCGGTGATCAGTCCCACAAGCGTAAGCGCGCTGCTGTGCAATTGTACCGCTCTGTCTGTGCTCAGGTATCTCGCCCAGCTCCACCCAATCCCGCGCTGGGTTCTGCACTAAGAAAAGTTCGCCCTGCACAAAGTTCTCCGTTTACCACCTAGCACGTTTCGTTTGGCAGATCTGTTTGCTTTCAGGGATCACGCTCTGACTGCGCCCGCTTCTGTTCATCTGCTCAGCTTGTCCAGCCTCTGGCGCTGCGCTTACCGCGCATTAGTTGATTGGCGCGGTGACGTTCATGCATGGTCGGAGCAAGCGATCCAAGACCTGCCGCTGTTGGCCTGGCTGCGCGGCGAATGAAGCGCCCCTTGCTGGCAGATTCGGCAGGGCATTGTGCAGCGTTTCCACGGCATGGCTGAACGCGCACCTAGTGTTGGTGTCTCTGTTGTGCAATGGCACGCCGCAACGGTGGCCTCGCGCGAAGAGATGAGCAATGCCCAGGCCACAGGACGCAAGGCGAAGGTGCAAAGGATGTTCTCCTCCTCGCTCCGTCGCTCTCTCTTCCCCGCTGAATTCCATTGCACCATCGCCAAGCGCCTGCGCGCTTGGGGCATGCTGCAGATGATAGAGGGTTCGGTCGGGGAGCGGGGGGGGGGGGTCTCGTGACTCTGCGCGCCTTCCGCCCAGCGTGGCGGCGGTCCATTCTCAAGGCGTTTGCGGGAAGCTGGACCAACTCGCGCCGCATGCATGTTTGTGGCTCCTCTTCCTGCCTGCTCGGCTGCCCCGATGAGGCCGACGCGATTTCTCACTATCTCATCTGTCCCGTCTTGCGTCGTCTCCTCTGCTTTCCGTCTTCTACCATTCACCTGTTGGGCCTCGCGGCCCCCAATGACTGCAATACAGCCGACTGCGCGATGAACCACGCATCTGCTCTCACGCCGTGCGCTCTGGCTTCCCAGATTTACCACAAGGCCAAGCCTTCCAGCGCGTTCGGTCAGCCGCTTCGCGCAGAGCTGCTCAATGGCGTCCTAGCTGCCGCGCATCACGCTACGTTGAAGTAGCCAGCTGTGGGCGAACAACGCACGGATACGGTCGATCATCCGCATCATCGTCATCCTCATATCCATCATCATCATCATCATCATCATCATCAGCAGCAGCAGCAGCAGCAGCACACTGTCGTCATCGCCATCGCCGTCGCAACCAGCATCATCATCATCATTTTCAGCATTAGCATCATAATCATCGTCATCATTCGCATCGTCATCAGCATCGTCATAATCATCGTAATCAGCATCATCATCACCATCATCATCATCATCATCGTCGTCATCGTCGTCGCCGTGGTCGTTATCATCATCATCATCAGCATCCTCATCACTAGCAGCATTACCACCACCGTCATCCTCATCATCATCGTCATCATCATCACCTTCGCCGTCATTATCGGCATCACCTTCACCATCATCATCACCACCATCGTCATCATCATCACCATCACCATCACCATCGCCACCCACCGCCATCAGTCCCCTAAACCTCTTTCTCTTTCCCACGTTGGCTTTTTTATCACTGCCACGCCTCCCTCTCACTTCCTCAACCTGTCCCCCCTTCATTTAAAATGAAACCAGTTACAGCATAATGAGCTGTGGACATACAGTATGGCTGGCGTTGTGCTGAAGTTGCGTCAAACTTTGGGCCTCTCTGGGGCCCTGTTGCCCACCCAGACGTGGCGCCGATTAGGTACGGGTCAAGCTGATGTCCTCACATGGGAGGTGAGACATTTGAGGCCATCTGGGACCATCTTAGGATACCTCGTGCCATCTTGGAGGCCATCCTGAGTTATCCAAGCGCCCTCCGGAGGCCTTCTTGGAGACCCGGGGAGGCTCCTGGGGCGCACGGGCGGACGCGCTGCCCCGCCACCTCGATGGCCCCGCTGCCTGCCAAGCGTTGGTGGCGTGGTCGGCAGCTCGGGATCAGTTCGGGAGCTCGGCTCGAGGTCGAGAGCTGCTGACCGACGCAACGGGGGTCGGGGCCCCCCCACCTGCAGGAGGGAGGAGGAGGAGGAGCGATGGGGAAGAAGGAGGAGGGAGAAATGAGGAGGGACAGGAAAACTGGAGGAGGGAAGGAGGCAGGGGGGTGACGGGGAGGGCCAGGAAGAGGAGGCGGTGGGAGGGGCCAGGGGGTGGAGAGCGGTGGGAAGGCAATGCTCTCTTTGATTGGCCCAGCCCTGTGGTGCAATGTCTTTCTCGCCGGGCCCCGAAAGGCGGAGGAGGGAGGAGCAGGAAGAGCGAGAGAGGGGAGGAAACCCCGAAACACATCATGCGACACATATACCCTAAACACATATGTCGACGCATCGGGCTTGCGTCGAAATTGCCAACACATACGAAGCCCAACGCATAGCTCAACTCGCAGCAAAACACACACGACGACACAGAAGTGAACACACCATGTTCGTTCGAGCGGGCTCGTATGGAATGCTGTGTGCAATCGTGTCCTGGGGGAACGGGTTTGAGTTTTATGCAGAAGTTCTTTGTGGCATTTCTGTCGGCCCTTGGTTCGTCTGGGCGATGTGTCGGGCTATGTGGCGGGCC